TAACGTAGAACATACCATCAACATGGAACATACCGTTAACAGGGAACATACCGTTAACGGAGAACATACCATTAACATAGAACATACCATTAACAGGGAACATACCGATAACAGGGAACATACCATTAACACGGAACATACCGTTAACATAGAACATACCTTCAACATGGAACATACCGTTAACAGGGAACATACTGTTAACGGGGAACATACCGTTAACATAGAACATACCATTAACATGGAACATACCGATAACAGGGAACATAACGTTAACGGGGAACATACCGTTAACATAGAACATACCATTAACATAGAACATACCATTAGCATGAAACATACCGTTAACATAGAACATACCGTTAACATAGAACATACCTTTAACATGGAACATACCGATAACATAGAATATACAGTTAACAGAGAACATACCGTTAACATAGAACATATAGTTAACATAGAACATACAGTTAACAGGAAACATACCGTTAACATGGAACATACCATTAACATAGAACATACCTTTAACATGGAACATACCGATAACATAGAATATACAGTTAACAGGGAACATACCGTTAACATAGAACATATAGTTTACATAGAACATACAGTTAACAGGGAACATACCGTTAACATAGAACATACCATTACATGGAACATACCGTTAACAGGGAACATACCGTTAACATAGAACATACCGTTAACATAGAACATATAGTTAACATAGAACATACCGTTAACATAGAACATACCTTTAACAGGGAACATACCGTTAACATAGAACCTATAGTTAACATAGAACATACAGTTAACATAGAACATACTGTTAACATGGAACATACCGATAACATAGAACATATAGTTAACATAGAACATACAGTTAACAGGAAACATACCGTTTACAGAGAACATACCGTTTACAGAGAACATACCGTTAACGGGGAACATACTGTTAACAGAGAACATACCGTTAACATGGAACATACCGTTAACATAGAACATACCTTTAACAGGGAACATACCGTTAACATAGAACCTATAGTTAACATAGAACATACAGTTAACAGGAAACATACCGTTTACAGAGAACATACCGTTTACAGAGAACATACCGTTAACATAGAACATACCGTTAACAGAGAACATATATAGTTAACATGGAACATACCGTTAACATAAAACATACAGTTAACATAGAACATACCTTTAACAGGGAACATACCGTTAACAGGGAACATACCGTTTACAGGGAACATACCGTTTACATAGAACATACCGTTAACATAGAACATACCTTTAACAGAGAACATACCGTTAACAGGGAACATACCGTTAACATAGAACATACCTTTAACAGGGAACATACCGTTAACAGGGAACATACAGTCAATAGGGAACATACCGTTAACAGAGAACATACCGTTAACATGGAATATACCGTTAACATAGAACATATAGTTAACATAGAACATACAGTTAACAGGGAACATACCGTTAACATAGAATATACAGTTAACATAGATTATACAGTAAACAGGGAACATACCGTTTACAGAGAACATACCGTTAACATGGAACATACCGTTAACAGAGAACATACCGTTAACATGGAACATACAGTCAATAGGGAACATACCGTTAACAGAGAACATACCGTAAACATGGAATATACCGTTAACGGGGAACATACCGTTAACATAGAACATATAGTTAACATAGAACATACCATTAACATGGAACATACCGTTAACAGGGAAGATACCGTTAACATAGAATAAACAGTTAACATAGAACATACAGTTAACAGGGAACATACCGTTAACATGGAACATACTGTTAACGGGTAACATACCGTTAACATAGAACATATAGTTAACATAGAACATACCATTAACATGGAACATACCGTTAACAGGGAACATACCGTTAACATAGAATAAACAGTTAACATAGAACATACAGTTAACAGGGAACATACCATTAACAGGGAACATACCTTTAACATAGAACATACCATTAACAGGGAACATACCGTTAACATGGAACATACCGTTAACATAGAATATACCGTTAACATAGAACATACCGTTAACATGGAACATACTGTTAACATAGAACATACCGTTAACATAGAACATACCGTTAACATATAACATACCGTTAACATGGAACATACCGTTAACGGGGAACATACCGTTAACATGGAACATACCGTTAACATAGAACATACCGTTAACAGAGAACATATATAGTTAACAGAGAACATACCGTTAACATAGAACATACCGTTAACAGGGAACATACCGTTAACGGGGAACATACCGTTAACATAGAACATACCGTTAACATATAACATACCGTTAACGTGGAACATACCGTTAACGGGGAACATACCGTTAACATAGAACATATAGTTAACATAGAACATATCGTTAACATAGAACATACCTTTAACAGGGAACATACCATTAACATGGAACATACCGTTAACAGAGAACATACAGTTAACAGGGAACATGCCGTTTATAGGAAACAAACTGCAAGCCGGGGACGCTAGCACTAAATTTATAATTTGGAACAGAACATTTATTTTATTTGTTAATTTTTTTTATGATAATTCAGAATAGCAATATGTCGATTTAAAGACCTACCTATGTATATATTTGTGTTGTTCTGTGTGTTTTGAATGATTATTGTAATAATTACATGATGTAGCTAGTCTACACTTCTCAATTACATTGTCAAAGTATTTTCTTTTCATTCTAAAATCAGAATCAAACACGGATTCCGAGAATTGATTAAGTAAACGATCATTTACACACAACCTTCAGTAAGTACTGATACTTCCCTGTGTCTAAAAGCGCTGACGGCGATTTCCGGTAGGAAGATTGTGTTATAAAAAGCCTTGACGACATTCAAGTATGTACACAAACTAAAAGCGGACGCGTAGACTCAAATCACAATCTCAGAGGATCATAAAATGGAAATAATGAGAGCTGTTTTTTTGGTTTTGGTTTTTGTCCAAGTGGATATCACTCATCAACAAAATATCCTCCCCGAGCACAGAAGACGTCACTGCCAAGCGCTGCAGACCTCGGACATAATGGAGCAAGCCATGCCCGAGTTACGCCGCATCATTGAAGCAGAATCCGCCAAAGTCCGGCGTAAATACGAGGCGATATTAGCGACCTTAAAAGGTAAAGTTCACTGGCTACGTGCACCTCAGGTGTAGTTAGATTATCTACGCATCTTTAATGATCTTAACTAATTCCCGTATGTTTAAAGTACACGACGTTTTCGCTCATGTCTTCATTTATCTTAAAATTGTCAACAAGAACATTTGATGTCAAGTGTTGTAATGTGTTTGTAGCGGAAGTATCTCTGAAATGATAATAAACGGAACAACCTGTATATTCTGTCCAAATGAAGATCTCCTTTCTTTAGTGAATATTTTATGCCGCAAGTTAGATAATCTGCCTCTATAATGACCAGACAATGTTAATCTGTTACGTATGGAGTGTGACACCTCGTCATTCCGGTCACTGGCTAGGATGTAAGTACATGTTTCAGTTCCTAAGTCACTGAGTGATATAGGCTGTCACCCTTTTCAATGGTCACTTATACTTGTTGTAGGCGGTATTCTGTTGACATGTGAAGCAGGCTGGGTGTACTATGACGACAACTGTTACCTGTTTCTACGTGGAGCGAAGGGCGGATGGCAGAACGTGAGAGTAAATATACTAGTTTTAATCCTTAGTATAGGATATATGTCACTGTATAATTGTATTGATACGACAAAGAAGCCTACACTATCACCGGGTAAAGATAGGAATGAGGGCGATTCTACATACTACGTATTTGTTTTACCGAATACAATATCTACATGACTTCTATCACATGTGGAAATAGGTATTTTACAACAAAACAATAAAACAGAAAATCCGATGTGGGATCACACTTTGATAGTCGCTTGTTAACACTTGTCTCTAGTAACTGTTGTGTGTTTATACTTGTCCCTAGTAACTGTTGTGTGTTTATACTTGTCTCTAGTAACTGTTGTGTGTTAACACTTGTCCCTAGTAACTGTTGTATGTTAACACTTGTCTCTAGTAACTGTTGTGTGTTAACACTTGTCCCTAGTAACTGTTGTGTGTTTATACTTGTCTCTAGTAACTGTTGTGTGTTAACACTTGTCCCTAGTAACTATTGTGTGTTTATACTTGTCCCTAGTAACTGTTGTGTGTTTATACTTGTCCCTAGTAACAGTTGTGTGTTAACACTTGTCCCTAGTATCTGTTGTGTGTTTATACTTGTCCCTAGTAACTGTTGTGTGTTTATACTTGTCCCTAGTAACTGTTGTGTGTTTATACTTGTCCCTAGTAACTGTTGTGTGTTAACACTTGTTCCTAGTAACTATTGTGTGTTTATACTTGTCCCTAGTAACTGTTGTGTGTTAACACTTGTCCCTAGTAACTGTTGTGTGTTAACACTTGTTCCTAGTAAATGTTGTCCCTATGTTTGTTGTGTGTCACTTTATAAGTTGTGTGTTCCTTTGTTAGTTGTGTCCCTTTGTTAGTTTTGTGTCCCTTTGTTAGCTGTGTGTCCCTTTGTTAGTTTTGTGTCCATTTGTTAGTTTTT